GGTCCTGTAGTCCCTGTAGTCTCCTCAGGTGGTCGCCCCAGAGCCGCTGTCCCGCACGGGGCAGGCCAGCCCCCAGAGCTGGTGGGTGGGGAGGGCTGACCCCTGTACCACCGCAGGCCTGGTAGTCTTTCCCTTGCAGAGGGCACACTCCCGTGCCTGGTGACTCCTCTAAACCGCCGGAACATTTCATGGTCCATCACAAACCCTTTTGGAAATGACTGGTTGTGTTGCGTCAGTTTTTGTGTGTGGCAAGTGGGCCCATAACGCTGCAGGCTCCAGAATTTTCTTATTTATAGTATTTCTACTTAAGTCCCGTATTCAGGGAACATTAAATCATTTGTTTCAGGAACCTTGCTGTTTCCTGGGTCTCGCTGTTACACCCGTATATTCTTATTGTGCAGTAGCCTTAATAGTTGTGTTAACCTCATTGTAACAACAGTGACAAATGGAATGAATTTTCTCCCCTCCTTTTTTTACTTTGTTTTTGTTCCTCCTGCTTCCACATCTAAGAGCCATGTTGTCTCTTGCTGGTTTCCCAGGGATTTGCCCAGAGTGTGGAGAGCTGCTGGCCCTTGCTATAGACTCTTCTGTTGTTGTTTGTAGTGAGTCAACTCTTAGTCTTCCCGCTAATAAATATTCAGTAACAAACCAACTGCGTTCTCGCTGCTGTCTGGGAGCAGCACTCCCCCTTGTGTTTCTTTGTATTGATTCCTTTAAATTTGTTCGGCTCTCTTTGCCAGATGAAAGTATGTAAACTTTTACCATGTCAAGAAATTAAAATAAGGTACTTGAAATTCTTTTAAGGTAGCCCCTTGTGTGTGATACTGAGCTCTAGGCTGTGCAGTGGTGACATCTGTGCTGGTCCTGCCTTCCTCACATACAGCTCCTCCTTCCCTGCATTCTCCTTGTTCCTCTTGTAGGCTGCTGTAGATGGCTGTGTGCTGCAGGGTGTTTCTGTTTCTGACTGTGTCTGATGCTGGGCTCATGGTCCTGGTTTTTGTGTGCTCTGTCTGATCTCAACCCTGCATGGGGGTCTCAGGAGGCACAGTGTGCGTGGTTTTTGGCACCCACAGCTTGTGCCCTGGCAGCTCCCGAGCCTCTGCTCAGCGGGGGTTCTGGGGCCAGCACCTGGATGTCACCCCGGGCAGGTGTGCTTGGGCACTGTCCCTTGGCTGCTCCGTGCAGGTGCTGTTGAGGAATTGTGGCCGCTGCCATCCCTGGCTGAAGCGTGCTCTGCTCTCCCCAGGGCACCGCCTGGCTCTTGCTGTGCTTCCTCCCGTGTCTGTTGCACACCCCGGGTGCAGAGGCTGTTCCTTAGGCGTCCTGTTCCCCGGGGGTCCCGGCCCGTGCGAGCCCCCAGACGGTCCCCGCTGCCCAGCCCGCGGGGCTTCCAGGCACCAAGGCGGCTGGAGGGACCATGGGAGGGGGTTGGAAGTAAATTATCTTTAAGGTCTCTTCCGAGCCAACCCATTGTGTGATTCTGTGACCTGCTGGCAGGGCTCTGCGTGGCACTGCCAGAAGAACCCCCTCTCTGGGGGTCTGTGCCCACTGTCCTGCGGAAGGACAGAGCATCCTGGCAGGTGTTGAGAAGGGAGGGTTTGCTGCCCGTGATCTTCACCCTTCAGTCCCAGGGCAGCGGTTTCTACTTTGTTCCCTAGTAGTGGGGGCACCTGCTGCCAGGGCTCTAATCCACAGGCTGTTGAGACATCCCAGCTTACACACAGTGACCGTTAAAACCTGAGAGGAGAATAAAGGCACAGCAGTTGTGTGCAGTCATGCTGCCAGAAACGCAGCCAGCACGGGCAGGGGTCAGGCAGTTCCTCTGTGCTGTTTTACACAAACTGACCCTGTGAGGTGAGGGAATAGGAGCAGGAGTTTTCCAAAGTCTGAGTTTGGGCTTAGGGTACTTCAGACTCCCCCATGTCAGGAGAGCTGGCAGTTTTTTCTGTACCATACTCTACCCAGCTGTCTGGCAGTCGCTGACTCTGAGTTTCCATGAGCCAAAAGCTGTCTGTCTCTGGTTTTGGTTTCTATAAATTTCAGAGGCTATTTTTTGCCACCTCTACCTTTCTGTGAGTGAAAAACAGCAAACTCTTCTCTTCCTTGCTTTGTTTGGGAGATGTGGGCAATTTAGCCAACATAGGTTGTACTGATGGGCAGTACCTAAAAGCAGCTGTGTAACCAAAATAGACCCTGGTAGGATGTGGATTATCTTTATTAAGTGTGGGACAGAGTTCAGGTCTGATCAGACTGGTCATAAACAAGTTATGCTGCTGTTAGTGAGACATGTAATTTTTTTAAATTCTAGGTTAGCTTTAAGCTGATTCAGGCTTCTTTAGGAGAAGGTACACAAGCAGTTTTGGTGATGTGAGTGGCCCTTAAGGATCCTTGATGGCTTTTTGCTGGTGAGGTATTGACAGGGGTTCTGGCTCTGCAGGTTCAGTTAATTACTTTGCTTCCTGAAACTTCTACTGGAAGATGGAGTTGGATTTAGGGCTGTTCTGTTTATTCTGAAACAGAGCTCCCAGAAGGTGCAGGCTGGTTCTTGTGCAGATTGTAATAGGCTTTAAAAGCCTTCAGCTTGAAAGGTGCAGCAGAAACGGGCAGTTCCAGTAACGCAGGGTTAGACATGGTGTCCGTGGCCCGTGTTCCGCAGCGGGCACAGGCAGCGTGGGGAGCTTCGTTTGTGTCCTCTGTGTCCTGCAGCCCTGGGGCGTGTGCTCTGGGTTGCTCTGCCCTGGGGATGTCATTACGGGTTAGGGTTTTTCTTCTTTTTTTTTTTTTTTTTTTTTTTTTCAAAAAACCCATCACTGGCGCGAAAAGTGTTTCCACTTTTTTTCCCTGGGGGTGGTCTTACGGGTTAGGGTTTTTTTTTTTTTTTTTTTTTTTTTTTTTTTTTTCCAGACACCCAATGCATGGAGCTAAGAGTGTTTCCACATTTTATTTCCAGACATCCCCCAGGCATGCTGCAGGGTTGGGTTGTGATTTGTGGGGCAGGAAGGCCTGTGGAGTTTGTCCAGTTCTCTTCAACCACTGCTGTGCTGCTCAGAAACTGACCATCCGTAATTGCAGCCTGTGCCTTAACTGTTAGGGACTTGGGATGCAAAACCAAGATTCAAAGTCAAAACTGAAGGGTCTGCTCTTTTTTATGCTTCTTTAACAAAATGTCAGTGTGAGCCTGGTGCTTGTGCAGCCATTTGGCTCAGCTGCATTGGTGCGTGTGGCGGCAGAACTGGCTCTGGTGGAGGAATGTCCTGGCGCTGCTCTACACCTTGACTGGGCTCTGAGGCAAACAGATGCCTAGGCTTCCACCAACAGGGGATTCTTCCTTCAAGTGTAAACCCCAGTAAGCCTTGTTGACTTCATGGATTGAAAGACCGACTGGAAGTCATTGCTCAGAGGCACCTTGTTCTGCCACTGGAGGCCAGTTGAACACTGATGCGTGGGGGACCTCTGCAACCCACAGCTGCTGCACCCCAGGTGGCTGAGGCTCCTCATCTGTCCTGTCTCTCTCCATCACTTGTGTCTGTCGCACAGAATGGGCCCCTTTTCTGGCACAGCGGATCCTGAATTGGCTGCTGTGGCTCTGTGGACTTCGCTGGTGCAAGTGAGGCAGAGGTGACACAAGCTGGCACAGGGGGGATGAGTGTGTCCCTGACCTGCATAGCTGCTGCCTGGGCTAAAGGAGGCTGAGACTGCCAGTGGTGGTGAGGATAACGGAGTGTGTTGTTGGCAACGTGGCCTCCTGCCTGCCAGCGTGGTGTCAGCAGGGCTGAGCCCAGGGCAGATCTGCTGCAGAGGGAGAGCTGGAGGCAGCGCTGAGGCTGGGGGGGCTGTTTCCCACCAGGAAGCTCTGAGAAGAGGAGGAAGGGAAGGCCAGGGTGAGGTGAGGTGAGGCTGGCAGCAGGAGTGGAAATGTTGGGTTGAATCTCCAGCCCTGGTTCTCTTGGATGCCTGGTGCTTCCCAGCACCAGCTCAGGGACAGGCAGGGATTGCAGCTGAAGTATGTCTGGTTTACCCCAAGCACCTGCCGTGTGGCAGGATGGAGCACCCAGTCCTGCTGTCTGGCCACCTTGTTCTGCCAAGGCCTGTGAGAGCAGCAGAGACCCCTTCGGTGGGATGTTAGAGGGCACTGCCCACAACCCTGGGTAGAAATCCTGGTGGTGGTGCCCGGGCAGCACAACAATAGAGGACATGGCAATCAGCTGCCTGCCTGGAGGTGGCAGGTTGCGGGTGGTTTTGTCCTTGAGGAAACTTCTGAGGAGCTGCACCTCAGTTTGCCTTTGAACTGGAGGCAGAGGCAAAAGCTGTGTGATCGTGTTTTGTTGGAACTCTGGGGGATTGATCCTCCCAGAGCTGTTCAGAGGAGCAGACTGAGAACTAGTGTTCACAGCGCCTTGGGGCCTGAGTCTCAACCTGAACTACCTCTCTCCTTGCCTGCCAAAGTTTTTCTGCTACTACACAGATGGATGTGTTTTCAGCAAAGGCTTCCATGCGGAAGATTAAAAAAATTAAAATAAAAAGTAACTCCAAGCTTGGAATCATGCTGCCAGGGAGAATATTTACAAGGAAACAGCCCGATAAACGAGGAAATTCAGTGAGTTGCAAAGAGGTGAAATTCTATGGTGTGGCAACAATTTCCAGCCTGTCAAAGTCTCACTGTGGTCTCAGCCACCTCAGGCTGGCTACAGGATCTTTGTTTTAACAGGAAGCCTCAGGAAGCCAGGTTGGACTGAAAAAGTAATGGAATTATGTGAAACTTGTCTGAGTCACTGACCCTACATCTCCAGTAGTTCTTTCAGGGCACTGCTTGTGGAGGAGGACAGAGAGGAGATCTGCTCTTTCTGGTCACCACAAATTTCAGTTCTCCTCCCCTAGCCTCTCCCAGTCCTTTGTACTTTCTGTGTTAATCCATCCAGTGCAGCATAAACTTGACAGAGGCAGCAGCTGGAAACCCTGCTCTGAAAGCTGCAGTGAATGCCTCAGGACCAGCAGCAGACATGAACGTGAAGACAGTGCTCGTCCTGCTTGTTCTGGCTCTAGCCACGATCTTTGCCTTAGTCTGTGTGCTGCTGACCAGAGGAAGGGCCCCCAGCCCGTGCCAGCACCAGCCCCCGGCGCAGGAGGACACCGGTGATGGCCAGAGCCTGGTCTTTGCTGATCTGACCCCCGAGGAGATGGTGCAAGTGGTGCGGTACCTGCAGGGGCACCTCGGGGTGCAGCTGGTGGACGCCTCGCGTGCCAAGCCCTCTGACAGCTGCATCGCCTCGCTGGACGTGCAGGTCCCTGCCAAGGCGGAGGTGCTGCGGTTCCTGGATGAGGGGGGCGCTCGGCCCCCCCGGGAGGCGCTGGCTGTGCTGTACTTTGGGAACCAGCCGGACCCCAACGTCACCGAGTACGTGGTGGGTCCGCTGCCGACGCCGGCGTATCACCGGGACATCACGGTGCAGAAGTACGGGGGGAAGGTGCCCTACCACCGCAGACCCACACTGGCTGTGGAGTACAAACAGATTGGAGGGTTTCTGAAAAGCCAGGTGTTCCCTGCAGCTCCATCTTTCATGAGCCAAGTCATGGAGTATGATGGGACCAATCTGGCCGCTGTGACAGCTGCTCCCCGTGGATTCCAGTCTGGAGATCGGATCACCTGGTTTGTCATGTTTCAGAACGTGAGCGGGTTCTTCCTGCACCCCGTGGGGCTGGAGGTTCTGGTGGACCACAGCAGCCTGGACATGTCCCGGTGGGCGGTGAGCAAGGTCTTCTACAACGGGCAGTACTACACGGACATGGTTCAGCTGGAGAGTGCCTATGTGCAGGGTCGCATCAGGGTGGAGAAGGTGAGGAAAGCGCCGCAGGATGGGGACTTCTCGTCCATGAAGCCCCGAGCACCTTCGGCCGCCCTGTTCCCTTTGCAGTACGAGCCCCAGGGTCCCCGCTACAGTGTCCAGAGCAACCACGTCCTCTTCCAGGCCTGGAGCTTTGCCTTTGGGATGAGCGTGAACACGGGCCTGCGCTTGTTCGACATCCGACACAAGGGGGAGAGGGTGGCCTACGAAATCAGTGTCCAAGAGGCGTTGTCCGTGTACGGCTCCAACTGCCCCGGAGGGATGTCCACCAGGTACATGGATGGGAGCTTTGGCATCGGGCGCTACACCTCCCCCTTGGTGCGAGGGGTTGACTGCCCCTATTTAGCGACGTACCTTGATGTGCACTACCTGGCTCATTCCCAGGTCCCTCAAGTTAGTAAAAATGCCCTCTGCATCTTTGAGCAGAACCTGGGCTCTCCTCTGAGGCGCCACTACTCCAACTTGCAGTCACTTTACTACGGGGGGCTGGTCAACTCTGCTCTGGTTGTTCGGTCCATTACGACTGTGGGCAACTACGACTACGTGTGGGACTTCATCTTCTACCAGAGTGGGGCCATTGAAGGCAAGGTCCGGGCCACGGGCTATGCGAGCTCATCCTTCCTCCATGGGGATGGTCTGAGATATGGCAGTAGGGTTTGGGAGCACACGCTGGGTACAGTACACACCCATTCCATCAACTACAAAGTGGACTTGGACGTGGGAGGTAGGTCTGGGTATTTCTTTAATGTCTGTCATTACACTGGTAAACCTCAGAGCTTTGGGGGGGATTGCCTCCTAGTCTTTAGAATCCCTCTCCTAACCTCTTATTTAGTTGCAAATTTTTTTTTCTCTGTAGAAAAGAGCCTGTCAAGGTCATCGAGTTGAAGACAGTGTGGGTTGTCTGGGAGCTCTGTGTTCAGCCCAGGGAAAGTATGAAAGGTAGTAGCTGAAAAATGTTTGTGTTTCCTTGAGGCCTCAGGGCTGGCACGGCGTGTGTTGCCACAGGCAGGGCCTGGCAGACCAGGAGATGCAGCCCTGTCTGTCAGGCTGGAGGTGTCATCCTGCTCCTGCTGCGCCTGCTGCTGCTCCTGGTGCTCCCTGTAGCCTGGGAAAGCCCTTTTCCTATCTCATCTGCCCTTGTAAAGCAGGGCAGATGGACCAGCGCTCTCAGGGCTGAGCTTGAGCAGCTCTGTCTCCGCGTCTCTTTTCAGGAAAATCTTGTCAGCTGGATCCTGGGTCTTGGGCTGCAGAGTTGCTGCAGCGAGCCAGTGAATTCCCCTGCTCCTGCACAGTCATGGTTTTTGGCAGCAGATTCCTGCCAAGGGTTATTTGAGTCCAGAAGCAGCTCCTGCAGGTCCAGGCTGAGCAGTGAAGCATTGGCATCACCCCGGGAGTAACAAGGATGTTCAGTGGATGGGGCAGCTTTGCTTCCTCTTAAAGGCTGTTCCAGTAACTGCAGTCAGGGAAGGTGCAAGGGCATGGTGGTGCTGCAAGGTCTTCTACAACGGGCAGTACTACACGGACATGGTTCAGCTGGAGAGTGCCTATGTGCAGGGTCGCATCAGGGTGGAGAAGGTGAGGAAAGCGCCGCAGGATGGGGACTTCTCGTCCATGAAGCCCCGAGCACCTTCGGCCGCCCTGTTCCCTTTGCAGTACGAGCCCCAGGGTCCCCGCTACAGTGTCCAGAGCAACCACGTCCTCTTCCAGGCCTGGAGCTTTGCCTTTGGGATGAGCGTGAACACGGGCCTGCGCTTGTTCGACATCCGACACAAGGGGGAGAGGGTGGCCTACGAAATCAGTGTCCAAGAGGCGTTGTCCGTGTACGGCTCCAACTGCCCCGGAGGGATGTCCACCAGGTACATGGATGGGAGCTTTGGCATCGGGCGCTACACCTCCCCCTTGGTGCGAGGGGTTGACTGCCCCTATTTAGCGACGTACCTTGATGTGCACTACCTGGCTCATTCCCAGGTCCCTCAAGTTAGTAAAAATGCCCTCTGCATCTTTGAGCAGAACCTGGGCTCTCCTCTGAGGCGCCACTACTCCAACTTGCAGTCACTTTACTACGGGGGGCTGGTCAACTCTGCTCTGGTTGTTCGGTCCATTACGACTGTGGGCAACTACGACTACGTGTGGGACTTCATCTTCTACCAGAGTGGGGCCATTGAAGGCAAGGTCCGGGCCACGGGCTATGCGAGCTCATCCTTCCTCCATGGGGATGGTCTGAGATATGGCAGTAGGGTTTGGGAGCACACGCTGGGTACAGTACACACCCATTCCATCAACTACAAAGTGGACTTGGACGTGGGAGGTAGGTCTGGGTATTTCTTTAATGTCTGTCATTACACTGGTAAACCTCAGAGCTTTGGGGGGGATTGCCTCCTAGTCTTTAGAATCCCTCTCCTAACCTCTTATTTAGTTGCAAATTTTTTTTTCTCTGTAGAAAAGAGCCTGTCAAGGTCATCGAGTTGAAGACAGTGTGGGTTGTCTGGGAGCTCTGTGTTCAGCCCAGGGAAAGTATGAAAGGTAGTAGCTGAAAAATGTTTGTGTTTCCTTGAGGCCTCAGGGCTGGCACGGCGTGTGTTGCCACAGGCAGGGCCTGGCAGACCAGGAGATGCAGCCCTGTCTGTCAGGCTGGAGGTGTCATCCTGCTCCTGCTGCGCCTGCTGCTGCTCCTGGTGCTCCCTGTAGCCTGGGAAAGCCCTTTTCCTATCTCATCTGCCCTTGTAAAGCAGGGCAGATGGACCAGCGCTCTCAGGGCTGAGCTTGAGCAGCTCTGTCTCCGCGTCTCTTTTCAGGAAAATCTTGTCAGCTGGATCCTGGGTCTTGGGCTGCAGAGTTGCTGCAGCGAGCCAGTGAATTCCCCTGCTCCTGCACAGTCATGGTTTTTGGCAGCAGATTCCTGCCAAGGGTTATTTGAGTCCAGAAGCAGCTCCTGCAGGTCCAGGCTGAGCAGTGAAGCATTGGCATCACCCCGGGAGTAACAAGGATGTTCAGTGGATGGGGCAGCTTTGCTTCCTCTTAAAGGCTGTTCCAGTAACTGCAGTCAGGGAAGGTGCAAGGGCAATGGTGGTGCTGGGGCCCAGGCTGGCAGCATCAGGTGTTTGTTATCAAAACTTGCTTCTGTAAAAGGTGGGGGAGAAAGTGTTTTACACGGGCACAGGACGAAAGGGCTCACTAGTAGGCAGTGGACTGCATCTGAACCAGCCTGAGGAGAAGCACAGCTCCAGTAACCCGTGCTGTCTCCTGGGTTGTTGGGAGTAGTTGGAGAACTACGTACATCAAAGTGCAGCTGCCTCCCATGCGATCATGTGGGACCTGCAGGGAAAAAGGGCAATTATTCCCCACCTGTAAATGAGAATGAAAACAGGAGTTCCTAAATTAACATTATCATAAGTGTGGTAAATAGATCCAGTGTGGCAGAGGTTTCAGCCCCTCCTGCCTGTGCCTCAGACTGTCCCACCAGAAGGGACATGCTCTCCAAGAACCAAAGAACCAAAAGAACCTTCTAACATCCTTGCCATCTGTGGCTAGCGCTGCTGGTGGCCGTGCTGGAGGTCACCTGCAGTGGGGTGGCCCCAGCCCCTTGCTGCCCCCTCAGGGCTGCTTGCTGTTCTTCTGCCCAGTACACACCCATTCCATCAACTACAAAGTGGACTTGGATGTAGGAGGTAGGTCTGGTTCTCCTCTCTCCTTTGTGCTCTCCCTGAGTACTTTTAGACTCCCAAACTTGACATCTTTGATTTTTCCCTCCATGCCCTGTCCTGAGCCCCAAACGATAGCCAGTG